TTGGAAAATGTAGATCTTTAGGAGCTCTACAAAATGGTGTAAAATTCTACATATTATCAGTTATCAGGGGTTCAGCTCGAGCGCTTGAGCTTACCTGACCTCGTTTCATGGAACTACAAGATTCGAGTCACTAAAATTAGCTGTAACTTTCTTCAAACTCAATATTTTTTAACAATTCAAACTGGAAAATGTAGATCTTAAGAAGCTCTACAAAATGGTGTAAAATTCTACATATTATCAGTTATCAGGGGTCCAGCTCGAGCCCTTGAGCTTACCTGACCTCGTTTACAAGATTCGAGTCACTAAAATTAGCTGTAACTTTCTTCAAACTCAATATTTTTCAACAAATCAAATTGGAAAATGTAGATCTTTAAGAGCTCTACAAAATGGTGTAAAATTCTACATATTATCAGTTATCAGGGGTTCAGCTCGAGCGCTTGAGCTTACCTGACCTCGTTTCATGGAACTACAAGATTCGAGTCACTAAAATTAGCTGTAACTTTCTTCAAACTCAATATTTTTTAACAATTCAAACTGGAAAATGTAGATCTTAAGAAGCTCTACAAAATGGTGTAAAATTCTACATATTATCAGTTATCAGGGGTCCAGCTCGAGCCCTTGAGCTTACCTGACCTCGTTTACAAGATTCGAGTCACTAAAATTAGCTGTAACTTTCTTCAAACTCAATATTTTTCAACAAATCAAATTGGAAAATGTAGATCTTTAGGAGCTCTACAAAATGGTGTAAAATTCTACATATTATCAGTTATCAGGGGTTCAGCTCGAGCGCTTGAGCTTACCTGACCTCGTTTCATGGAACTACAAGATTCGAGTCACTAAAATTAGCTGTAACTTTCTTCAAACTCAATATTTTTTAACAATTCAAACTGGAAAATGTAGATCTTAAGAAGCTCTACAAAATGGTGTAAAATTCTACATATTATCAGTTATCAGGGGTCCAGCTCGAGCCCTTGAGCTTACCTGACCTCGTTTACAAGATTCGAGTCACTAAAATTAGCTGTAACTTTCTTCAAACTCAATATTTTTCAACAATTCAAACTGGAAAATGTAGATCTTAAGAAGCTCTACAAAATGGTGTAAAATTCTACATATTATCAGTTATCAGGGGTCCAGCTCGAGCCCTTGAGCTTACCTGACCTCGTTTACAAGATTCGAGTCACTAAAATTAGCTGTAACTTTCTTCAAAATCAATATTTTGAGAAAATTCAAATTGGGAAATGTAGATCATGAAAAGTTCTACGAAACAATATAACATATAAGTCCCAAAAAACATTTTTTTGTGAAAAATTTTTGAAAAATATATTTTTTTTCAAAATTCTAGACATTTTTCAGTTTTCTTGTTCGAAAATGAGATTTTTGTCAATATCAGCAAATTTGACTAAATTGAAAAATTAAAAAAAAATCACGAAAATATGAAAAATTCCAAAAAAAGTTTTTTTTTGAATTTTTTAAAATTAAAGAGTCCCTAAATTAGCTGTACCTTTCTTCAAAATCAATATTTTTTAAAAATTCAAATTGGAGGTTGAAAAATTCTCTAAACGAGATACTTTTGAAATTCAGAATGAAATTCTAAAAATTTCAATTTTCTGAATTTCTGATCTTTTGGATTTTCTGAATTTCTGAATTTCTGGATTTTTGAATTTCTGAATTTCTAAATTTCTGAATTTCTGAATTTCTGAATTTCTGAATTTTTGAATTTCTGAATTTCTAAATTTCTGAATTTCTGATTTTTTGGATTTTTGAATTTCTGAGTTTCAGATCTTTTGAATTTCTGAATTTCTAAATTTTCTGAATTCCTGAATTTTCTGAACTCCTGAATTTCTGAATTTTTGAATTTCATTGCCAATTTTCAGAATTTTTCGAACTTTCAAAAATTTGAATTTTTTCAAAAACTCTGTCTGTCTGTCTATCCATCCAGATGTCCCCAAGAATTCAAAAAAGCGACAATCGTCACACCATATTCATATCTACCAAAAAAACAAAAGAAACGCGTAAATAAACACATACAATTGGAGAGGTACCATAATTTAAGAGGAACATTCATAAAAGGGGGCGGGGCTTAAGAGGGGGCTTGAGAAAAAAATCAGAAAAAGGTGAGGAGGCAGAATTTTTCGACTTTTTTGGAACGACGATTTTTTAACAAAAAAGGGGGCGGGGCTTTAGAATATATACTCGCTTTAATTACGATTAATTGGAGGAGGTTGAGAATGATGGAGAGAGAGAGAGAGAAGAGAGATTAGAGAAATTAGGACAATAATAATAATAATGTTTGGGTTTCAAAAAAAATTTTTTTCAAATTTTCAGAATTTTCCAGAAATCGAAAAATTCGAAATTTCCAAAAAAAAATTTTTTTTTTGAAAATTCCAAAATTTCCAGATTTCCAGAATTTCCAAAACATCTGAAAAACTAAAAAAAAACATTGTTCTGGAACTACAAAAATCGATTGACCTGAGAACGAACAAAAACTGTGGAATTCTTCTGTGTGGGACAAAAAATGTGGGGTGGGCGGAGCCAAGAGTGGGCGGAGCTAGTACATTTAACACGAAAACACAAAAAAAAAATGGAAAATTGCACTTTTTTTAGGGAAAAATCCCTCAAAAATGATGAAAAAAAAATAATTAATCAGTGCCTATACAGAAAAATAGGGCTGAAAATCTGAAATTTTCAGCCCAAAAATCTGAAAAAAAATTTTCAAAACAATTCAGCGAAAAATTCAGCCAAGGGTTTTTGGGTCAAAATTTCCAGGTTTTCAGCCGAAAACTTGCAAAAAAAAATTCCAGATTTTCGGCTTAAAAGTTTCAGATTTTTCCAGATTTTCAGCCAAAAAAATGAGGGTTAGAGACCCCATAAACCAAATAGGCAAAAAATGGAAAATTCCAGGCATTTTTAGAAAAATCAAGAAAAATCCAACAATTTCGGTTGAAAATTTAAAGCTGAGCAATTCGACTATTTTTGGTCAATTTGGTGCATTTTTAGCGGTTTTTAGTTTAAAAAAGGGGGCAAAAATCGTCATTTTTCAGCCATTTTGACTCAAAAAACCTCAAAAAAGCTCAAATTTTCTAGAAAAATCTGGAAATTTCTCAACAAATTCTAAGCATCAACATTGAGCAACGCCGAAAACTTGTTATTCCCGAGTGGCGTCTGTTTCGCCTCCTTCTTCTTCTCCTTCTTCTTGTCCTTCTTGTTCTTTTTCGGTGTAGACGGCGTCTGTAGAGCGTCCTGCTGAGCAGCTGACGCGTCTCCAGATGACGACGTCGTCGTCGTCGTCGGTTTTGATGCTTCTGCGGATTCTGAAGGCGGCTTTGCGGTGCTAGTTGACGTCGTCGTTGTTTTGTCATCCTGAACGTTGAAACATTTGAAAAAACGTCGTGAAAAATCGCCAAAAAATGACAACTGTTCATGACAAAAAAACATTGCTTTTTAAGCTGAGCAATCGGCCTTCTAGGCTCATTTTCAGCCAAAATTCCAAATTTCTAGACTCATTTTAGGTCATTTAAGCTCATTTTTAGTCGAACATCGAGCTTCCAGTTTCATTTTCAG